GCAGGGACAGGACACGGGGGAACGGTTTGAAGCTGCGAGAGGGGAGATTGAGCTGAGATATTGGGAAGAAATGTTTTCCTGTGCGGGGGGTGAGGCAGTGGCCCAGGGTGCCCAGAGAAGCTGTGGATGCCCCATCCCTGGAGGGGTTCAAGGCCAGGCTGGATGAGGCTTTGGGCAACCTGGGCTAGTGGGAGGTGTCCCTGCCCGTGGCAGGGGGTGGCACTGGATGATCTTGAAGGTCCCTTCCAGCCCAAACCACTCTGGGATTCTGTTTCTATGATCGCTCAGACCCTGAGGCATATCAGCCTGTGCTCTCAGGTATTTTTCTTTCCCTTGGGCAGCCATGGAAGGTCCCCCAGAGCAGTGGGATGCTGTAGGAGAGGTGTAGTGTCCCCAGGTCAAAAGATCCAGTAGAAAACCTGGTGGTGGAAACCATCCTGTTTTCCAGGTGGCATCTGAGCTTGACAGCTGGTAGATGATCTGATGCAGATCCATGGCTCAGACCCTCGTTCTCCTACAGGTAAGAGCTGTGCTCCCAACTCTTCAAAGGTTGGACCCACCCTGGGCCTGTGCACTGGTCTCCTGATACATCCCATGGAGGGAGATGGACAACTGAAGTGCACAGAGGATGGGGTCTGAACCCTCCTCCCTGGGCCATGGACACCCAGCTCAGCTGCACCTTGTCCTCCCAGCCAGCTGAGGTTGAGGTGGACAATCTCTCCTTGATGCTTGTCTCAATGTAAATGGGGGACGGGGTGAATTCAGGGGCTTCTCCAGGCGAAGGGTGGAGGCAGAGGTGGCAGTCATGGCACATGGAGGATGGAGCTGCTTTGGAGGACAGAGAATGGACACAGCAGGACTTCTACAGCTATAACCCCATCACTGGGCATCTCCAGCGTAGCAGTTTGCCCAGCTGCTATGGTTGTCTCTAAAACTTACAGGTCTTCTGCACTATGGGATGCAGTCAGGCAGCAGAGAGGTACGATTCCCTTTGGTCTTTCTATCAGACCATTTTAGTGACCTGAAATTTTGTTAAGATGACCTCAAATCAGGACCGAAATCATGCTGTGTGTGGAGAGGTGAATTAGAGATGAACTGTAGGAGGGACTGGCATCTCCTCCTACAACACCTCCTGGTCAGGTGGATCCAGGGTCACTGCAGATGACAGGGATTTCTGGTGTGTCGCCAAGGAAAATTTCTGCCAGCATCAAATTAAGGTCAGGGCACGGAGCAGAACGATGGCCTCGTTTCATCCTGGCAAGGGAATCTGCAATCAGGAGCATGGGTACCACAGTCACGTTTGTGCCGCACGGTGCAGGACACGGGTGTCCTGGTTGTGCTGGAGCCTTTGGCCAGTCTCCTGCACCAGAAGAGCTGAGGAACGTTTGGGTGACTTGTTTTCTGCTAGGAAGATACTCCTCTGGGTGGTCGTGTG